AAACTTTTCTCCTTTTACTCCATCTTCCTGTCTCAGCAAACACAGAGGCATGATCTCAGTTCCCTGGGCCACAGATTCAAGAGCCCTGTTGCCAATTAGAGTAACCACTATAGCTTTTCCCTGGATCACTGATTTAGTCACAAACCCATTTACCAGGTAAGCTACCAATTCAAAAGGAAAGAGATGCAGATACGCTCACATGGGGCTCCTAGCCAACACACCAATCAAGATGCGCACACCTTTATTCCCAGCACTCAGGAGGCAGAGGCAAGAGGACCTCTGTGAGTTCAAGGCCAGCCTGGTCTACAGCACCAGTTCCGGGACAGGCCTCACAGCTAAGGAGAAACCCTGTCTTGAAAAACAAACAAACAAACAAAAATTTAAAATGACTACCTAGAAGAGTTAGGTACGGTGGTATACACTTATAATTCAAGCACTTGTGAATCAGAGATAAAACCCCAAGATCCAGGCCAGTCTAGCTTAGACAGGGGGATCCCGTCTCCAAACAAACAAACAAACAAAAAAGTTAAGACTATCTAGGTAATGAGTGTGGTGTCAAACAGATTCTCCCACCTTTGGGAGGCAAAAGAAAGAAAATCCTGAGTCTCAGGACAGCTTTGGCTATAAATTGAGACTCTGTCAAGAAAAAATGGTAAGTTGAGGAGGGTGTCTTGGCTGGTAAAGTGCTTGCTGCACAGAGACCTCAGTCCTTGCCCCATAACCTACATGGAAACCCAGGTGCAGTTGTGCATGTCTGCAATTCCAGGTCTGGGGTGGTAGAGACAGGTGGGGATACCTGGAGGCCAGCAAGTCTAGGTATGTGGCTGAGCTCCAAGTTCAGTCAGAAACTCTGCCTCAAAAATATTAGCAGGGTTGAGAGTGATTGAAGATGTCCAGCATCAACCTCTGACTTCCACACACAGGCACACACTATCGTAAGCATATACATGCAGACAAAAAAAAATGCCAGTCATGTGCCTCTGTGACTTCTGTTGGCCTGGAGCAAGCCAGGTAATTCTAGCTACCTCTAGCAGTCAAGGCATTCACCAAGACTTATTCCTTTCAAGAATAGAGTGTAGGCAGCTGGTGCTTCAGCTCTGGACAGAGTAGAATTAGGCCAGGTCCATTACAGAGATCGCTGCTGTCCTTTCCTTAATGTCTTCTTGTCCCGTAGACCCTGCATTCACATCTGCCTGCAGATGCTGTTGAGTTCACCTTCTGGGTAGAATGGAGCTATGGTTTATGTGAGATATGCTCCCATGTATGTGAACATGTAATCCCCAGTTGGTGCTGTCTGGGGAGGTTAGGAATCTTCAGGTGGAACCTCGCTGGAGGAAGTCTATCTCTAGGACAAGGCTTTGAGTGGTTCTAGCCACACTCTACCTTTTATTTTCTTTTCACTGCCTATGTGTGGATGAAACTATGAGCAGCCAGCTTCATGTTCCTGTCTTCATGCCTTTCCCTGCCCACTGCTGAGCTTTCCCCACCATAAGGGACCTGTCAGTAAGTCTGCAACTATAAGCTAAAATAGACTTCTCCTTTAGGTTGCTTTTGGTCACGGTATTTTATCACAGAAAAGGAAACAACTCTTACATTACTCCCCTTTGTCCCAGAACTCTGGTTTTTACCTAATTTCTGCAGCATCTCAAAGTGCCACCTCTGAGACTTGAATTTGAAATACACAGGCTTGTTTGTTTCCCAGTAGATCTCAACATCTGGGAAGAGTATGGAGCCTTTTATGACATGTGTGGCCCACCAGAATAGGTCACTGGTGATAGGCTCTGAAGGTTTATTAGCCAGGCCTCTGAATCCTTTAACTCTTTCTTCACTTGCAGGCAGGCAACAAACCTGTAGTCACACACTACTACTGCTTTGTATGGAGCTCCTCAACCCTGCCAAAACCTAAGAGATTCAAAACCATGGCCCAAAATAAAATATCCCTTTCTTGTTTCTATTGGGTACTGTGGTTACAGAAACAGGGAAGTAACTGATATAGTACCTGTGCAGTGTGTGACCTTCCATGGCTCAGCGTGGTGATCCGAATGAGAAATGTCCCCCATTCGTTCACACATACTGGTTCCCTTATTCTCCTGTTGTGCTGTTTGGGGGAAAAAATGAAATTAGGGCATAGAGTCTTGCTGAATGATGCATGTCGCTATGGATGGCCTTCCTGAACTTACAGCCTCACTGCTCTTCCATGTGGCTCCCTTGGCTTCCTCTGTGTATTTTGAGATGTGTTCTCTCAGCTGCTTGCTGCCCTATATCCCTTATCCTCATGGCCTATCCCTCTGGAGCCATAAGCTAAAATGAACTCTTGTTTCTGTTCGCGCTTTCTCATAGCAATAGACAATTCACTGATACATTCAGAAACTGTTAGTGACTTAAGGCAGAGAAAAGTTGAAACCTTGCAATGGGAAATACCCTGCACAACCTGACCTGTCTTGCCCTTTCCTTCCACGCTGAGTTCACAGTGTGTTCATCCCATAACACTTTGCTTCAGGCCCTCCTGCATACCTGCAAACTGCTGCACCAGGGCTCTCAAACAGGTACACAGCTCGCACTTTCCATTCCTTCCTCAATTGTCAGCTTCCCAGTCAGACTGTCTTCAGAGCCAACTGCCACTGTTCCTCACACAGTATTCCAAAACTCTCCCTTATTTTTCCCTCACAAATATTATATGTTGTTTTAATTTCTTGTTTACTGTTCAGGACGTAAGCAATACAGGGGTTTGGGAAATGGCTCACTCAGTGCTTAGTGTGCAAACAGGAGGACCTGAGCACAGAAACCCCACCAACTAGGAATACTGGCACATGTAATCCCAGCTCTGGGGAGGCAGAGCCAACAATATGCCTGAGACGTACTGGCAGGCCTGTCTAGCCTAATGCACAAGCTCCAAATCCAGTGAAAGACCTTGTCTCCCATTATAAAAGTGGGTATCAATTGAGGAAGACACCTGATACCAATCACAGTCCTCCACATGTACCATGTACCCACACACATGTACACAGAGCACATTGAAAAAATGACAGACGGAAGGGTTGGTGGGAGTAAGGACACTAGTGAGACAGGGCAAGACTAAGCTATGTTTAGAAGATGAGAAGACTCAACCTTTGCTATCATCATTGGAAAGCAAAAACGTGCAGGAGAGTGCTTAATCAGTAATCATGTTTAGAGCTAGGACATAGCTAGTTGGCATAGCACAAACCAAACAGGCACAAAGCATGCCATTCTGCCGCCAGCACTGCATAAAACTGGGACCAGTAGTGCACACTTATCTTACTAGCACTTGGAAAGCAGAGGCAGGAGGATCAAAAGTTCAAGGTTATCTGAGTTTTAGGTGATCCTTGGCTATAAGAGACTTCCTAAAAAACTAGCCATCTGGGCTGGTAGGATAGCTCTGCAGTAAAGAGCACTGGCTGCTCTTCCTGAGGACCAGAGTTCAATTCCCAGCACCCATATGGCTGCAACTGTCTAAAACTCCTGTTCCAGGGAATCCTATACCCTTACAAAGACATGTATGCAGGCAAAACATTAATGTGCATAAAATACAAATAAATAAATTATTAATAAAAACTAGCTGTCTATTATGCCTACATGGAACATGGGGGCAGAGGTGGGAGGAGGGAAGACACAGAATAGCACAGACTGCATATGGAACAGGAACTAGTCAAAGAAAGTCAATTTTGGGCTGGTGCCTGTGCAATGGACAGGAAGTCATTCAAGATGGAGGAAGAGCGGAAAAGGTCCAAACATGGAACAGAACTTTCAAAGCTCAGGGAACCAAAGCTGAAGCCACCTAAGCTGAAAAGTAACAAGGAAGACATGAGAGGGGATACAAGCTATACAATAAAACAAGTTTCAGATGGTTGTCATGGGCATTTACTGAGCTGATGAAAAGGTAGACATGAGCAGGGGGCAGCAGCAAGGGATAAGAGAAAAGGAGGTTATGAGGAGAGAAGGAAGGAGAAAACACACTACTGTAAATAGAAAACCTGGGGAGGCCGAGAATCATCATGGACACCATCGCGAGAAAAGAGAACTGCAGGGTAGGATGAAAGCTCTCTTCCTTGCATGGGAGACACAATTAGGAAGACCAACAAGGGCCAGAATGTGGGGACCTTTGGAAGTTGAACAAGGAATTAGATTTGATTTCAGTGACAACAGAAAGCCATTGATGAGTTTAGGGCAGAGAAGTAACCCACTGTGGCACACTTAACTAGACTGGAAACTAATAGGGATCTGAATCCATCCTGAGAACCTGGATGTAAAAAGCCTGCAGTTGTAATTCTAGGGCTGGTGAGCTGGTGACATGTTGACCCTTGGGGCCTGCTGGTCAGCTATCCTGATCAGGCAAGTCTTAACCATTGAAAAACCCTGTCACCAAAAACGGTGGTTCGTGCCTGAGGAATGACACTTGAGGTTGACCTCTGGCCTCCACATGCACGTACGGGTACACAAATGTGCCCCACCATGCTCAAACATAGAAAGAAATCAGCCTTGGCATGTAGCTCTCCTGTCTAGATCCAAAGGGGCTGGAGGTGTGTGTGTGACTTAGTGGTAGCACCCTATCTAAAATATTCCAGTGACTGGCTGAGGTATGGCTTAACAGTAGAGCTTCAGTCTAGAATCCTCTAGTAAGGGGTTAAGGGTGTAGCCCAGTGGTTTTTGTACTGAACTGCTAGAAGGCTATAGGTGCTACTTCTGGAAGGGAGAAAGCTTTGCCGAGGGTGGGGGGATTTTGGGGGGGAGGGATACCATATAGTACCCTAAGGGTATTTTCTATAGATGGAAATGTCAAGGAATCTGCTGGAGTACAGAAGGGTCTGAACTGGTGCTCAGAGACCTCAACAAAGAGCCCCCCAAACTGATAGCCTAAGTCCTGTCACCATACACCGAAGCATTGGGGGGTACTTTGTCTGTCCTCCCTAAGGTGAGCAGTGATCTCGTCCAAACAAGCCACCCCGCAAAACCAACAACAAAAAACAGAAAACAAACGAGAATCCAGAACTGAAATACATTCTTTATTTCAGGGAAGAATGTCAAATCAGGGCAGATATCCTCATTAGCTGCCACTTAAGTACCATCGAAAAAACACCCTGGGAAAATAAACGAGTGTGTGCGTTGAAGGAGGGCCCAGTGACAGAAACACATTAGGATTTCAAAGTGCAAGGAGAGCCTAGACCTGAGTCTACAAGGAGTCCTGGTGTCGAGACTATGTAAGTTTATGAGCTATAAGGATAGAATCTGGATTTCTCAGCCTGGGCTAGGAGGGCTAGGACCTGGACTTCTGGCTCTGAGAAAAGGGGGTTAGGTCTCCTAGGTCTGAAGGAGAATTGCAGGCTAGAACCCTGGGTCTAAGGAAGGTAGTCTAGAGCCTATACACCTTTAGTCTGAGAAGACCTGGGTTGGGCTCAGGGAGGAGGCCGGGCTCTGGACTCGGAGGATGGACGGAGTCTGGACTCCTGGGTCGGAGGCCTGCGGCGTGGACAAGGGGAGCAGCGGGAGGCGAGGGTGGAAGCTGGCACTCACCACACTAGCACAGTGACGCTAGCAGACACGAGTGCGGCAACAGCCGCGAGCAGGAACAGGTTGCCAAGCGTCAGAGCCTGGGGCCTGGCCAGCAGTTCGCTTAGGCTGGGCCTCCAGGGCTCGATCATTTCCGCCTCCCGCGGCGTCCAATGCATCACTTCCCGGAACGTGACCTGGAGCTCAGTCTCCCCAGGCGGAGGAGGGCCGGTCACTGCCAGAGCGCGCGCGTTAGAGAGCGGAACCCCGCCCTCGGCCCCACCTCTCCTCACATCCTTGCCCCACCCGCACCGTTCAGATAGAAGTAGAGCCGCGCCAGGGGTCGTTGGTCGTGCAGGATCACGCACGAGAAGGTCCCGCGGTGGGTGGGTTGCACTGGCCGGATCCGCGCCAGGTACCCGTGAGCCCCTGGCACATCACGGAAGTAGGACACGTCCTGAGTCCGGAGCTGCGAGATGGCGGGTCTGAGGAGCTCAAATGCACCCGGACTCAGCCGGAACGGGCAATCCCCGCCCAGTGCACACCCCCTCCCCAAGCCCTGACTCAGCTCGCAAGCCTCTGACTCGTCTCGCTGCCAGGAGTAACCCTTCCCAGCATTCTTAAAGTCTGACTCATAATGCACATCAAGCACTGGTCTTCCATATATTTAACCTCAATCTTTCCCTAGGTCTCCGACTACCCTCTCGCATTAAACCCAACCCGTATGGCCCCATACCCTGAACTTAGCCTCCTCCTCTCCCCGGAGCAGAACCGATCCCTTAAGCCCTCCAGCAGGCCCTGTTCCGACTCACACCTCCTCCCGCGAATTTCCATGAGTAAGTGAGCTCCGATTCAGGCAACTGGAAGCCCACGACACAAGAAAACAAAGCCTGATCCCCTCGCTTCACCGTTAAGTCCTGAACTGAAGAGAGGAAAGGTCGTTCCGGCAGGCCTGCACAAGCCCCGCCCCTTCCCTGGCTTGCCTTCGCGGCCGCCTCACCTGGACAGTCTAGAGGGAGGTCACAGACTGTGGAAAAGCAGCCCCAGCAGTAGAAACGCCTACTGACCTCCTGGACACCTGTGAGCCGAGACCAGGAGTGTCTCCAGGTCAATTCTCCGGACCTTGTTGAATCTATGGGAACTCCCAGGGTTCTACTGGCGAGGTGAAAGACAGACCCCACATTTTCTGCACTATTTGGATAACCCTACTTAGTTGGCCCCCAGGTCACCTCCTGGTTTGTTAAGCCAGTTTTCTACATTACACTTATGTTTTGTTTCTGTGTTGTAGTCACTGGGAATGGAACCTACGGGTTTATGCACGCTAGTCAAACTCCCTTCCACCGAGGCATGCCCTTATCCCCTGACTGGGAGATTCTAGACAAGTGTTCCTGTGCTGAGCCTTATCTTCAGAATTCTTTTTAGATTTTGTTTTGAGACAGGGTCACCCTAGGTTGCCAGACGTGGCCTAGAACTTTATGTAGCCATAGTGGCCTTGGATGTGTGATCTTCCTGCCTTAGCCTCTGGAGTAGCTAGGATGGCAGGCCTTCACCAACAGGGCCTCTTGCTAGGAAGTTTTGGCAGAATACCTAGTTTATGCACTTTCCTATTGACTTCCTTTGGATCTATGGTCCACTCATGGTCTTCATCTTAGGTTCCACGTTTCCACCCCAGCTTCCCCTACTTTTTTAAGTATGGGACTAAATCCTTACCACAAGGAGGGATGCAGTCCTGGACTGTGGAGAGAAAGGAGGAGGCATTAGGACCCAGATAGTTGACAGACCTACCTAGAGCCCCTCCAGAAGGTATTTCCCTCAGGCCTATGGCCCTCTGGCGGAATAGTCAGGACTTGCAGTCCTCTCCTCTGGAGAACAAGCCTAGGCTCCTAAAGCAGCATTTGGAGGGCAGAACAGAGCATATTGTTCCTTAAGGGCAGGGCTGGGTTCACAGCACTTCATCCAGAGGGCGCAGCAAGGCCAAGTGTGTCAAGTTGAAAGCCTACAACTAACCAGGAAAAGTGAAATGGGGGGGGGGGGGGGGCACAGGAGCCTTGAGGAGGAATCAACCTGGAAGTATTAATTACCCTTGGAAGTGGGAGAATCAGCACCTAATTAGTAGGCCCAGATAGAGAAGCACCAACTAAAGAGGATGCCTTTGAACACAGGGCTAAAAGCAGATTGATTGTCACATGATCTGTCCTCGGCTAGGAAATCCACTGGTCCCAGGGTTTAGGCAGGATTCAAAGTGTACAAATGTCTGTGTGTGGCATATTGTGTTTGCAGGGGGCGGAGCTGGAGGCTGGTTTACCTTTTTTAAGCTGTTGAATGGTCTTCTTCATTTTTGCTGCAGCGATAGGGAAGGCAGCCTTAAAGGACCCTGGAGGATGAAGCAGGGTGGTTGTACTAAAAGCCCTTTCCCTATGGCCGAATAGTCAGGACTTGCTGTCTCTCCCATAGGTACATGCTGTGTTTCTAGCTCCCATAGGTCCAAAGGGAAAGCTGGCAAACTTCTTCAAGATGCTCTTTCTGCCTCCCGACAGCACTATTCATTTATATCTTAGTGGAAAGGGAAGAACAATGCTTAACTCTTCTGCAGGGCTTACTAGGCCCTACAATGCTGGTTGTTTCCTTTCTCTGCTGCAGCCCTCTTGCTGACTTTCAATTTCCAGGTTACCCTTACCTTGCTTATAAATGTCTTTTGCCCAGCTTTCCATCATTCTGTATATCTTACCATCTCAATTGTCACTGCAAGGGTTTTGATTACCCCAAATCTAAAGTTCCCCACTTTTATCTCATTGTGCCTCTTTCAGTTTACATAGACTTCACCAGATGCAATTACACATATGCAAATTAGATGTTGAGATATGATAACAGCATAAGTCCATCTTCTTGGTATTTTGTTTTAAGACGGTGGCTCACTATGTTCCAGGCTGGCCTAGACTTCTCTATGTAGCCCAGGCAGGCCTTGAACTCAGAGATCTGCCTACTTTTAACTTAACAGTGTTGGGATTAAAGGCACACACAACCATACACGGTTCCCTTTTTGTACGCTTTTAATTAATGTTTTTTGTTCTTTGAAAATTTCATATATGCATACAATGTATTTCAATTATATTCATTCCCTCCCCTATCTTCTTCCAGACCCTATACTTCCTACTTGTCCTAACCCTCTTCGTTTATTTTTTTTTCCCGTAACTGTAATAACCCACTCAGTACAATCTGTGATGACCATCCAGTGGTGCACCTACCTTCAGTGAACCTATCAACCTATCAGGGACTGCATGCACCCTTGAAGACAACTGGCTCTCCCCATCCATTTGCCTCCATTTGGGGTGGAGTCTTGTGAGCCCCTCCCCACAGCACTGGAATGTTGACGGACTTGATCTTGGTCAGGCAACTACAGCTGCTGTGAACTCAGGAGTACATTGGTCCAGTCAAGTCCACAAACCGCTTGCTTTGTCTAGTCCTCTCAAACCTCTGACTCTTAACCTTTCCACTCTTTTCTCAATGTTCCCCAAGCTTCCACCTTTTGAATACAGCATCCTCACAAAAGGGTCCCGAGTCTTACAAAACCACCCAGTAAGTATATGTCTAGTGAATTTGAGAGTCCAGCAGGACAGTAGGTCACCAGCTGTAGCCTTAGACCCAAATGTATCACCTGGATATGATAAACACCAGGCAGTAAAGTGTTTCTTTTTCTCTTCTTTGTTCCCTATTTTTTTCTTTCTTTCTGTTTTTATTTTTTATTTTGTCTTATTTTTAAAGATAGGGTTTGTCTTTCTAGCCCTGGCTATCCAGGAACTCCCTCTGTAGACCAGGTGGGCCTTGAACTTTGAGATCCAGCAGCCTCTGCCTCCCAAGTGTTGGGATTAAAGGTGTGCACCATGACCGCCAGCTTGTTTCCTTTTTATTTATGAACTATTTGCCAATATACAACTTTGGGACAGTTATATAAAAGTTTCTTATCTTGGTCGGTAGGTGGTGTTGGGTGCTTTTAATCCTAGCAATTGGGAAGCAAAGACAGAAGGACTTCTATGAGTTCAAAGCCAGCTTGGTCTACAAAGTGAGTTTGAGGACAGCCAAGGCCACAAGGAGAAACCCTGCTTCAACATAGCAAAAATATTGATATCTCTTTGCAAAACAATGGGGAGGCGGCTGAAGAGATAGTTCTGCAGTTACGACAATGTCTTGCAGAAGACCCAGTTCTGTTTCCAAGCAGCCATGTCAGAAGTTTCACAACCATCTGTAACTCTAACTTCAGGGCATCTGATGCCCTCTCCAGGACTTCAAAGACTCCTGAACCAATGCCCTGTGCACCAATGCCCTGCTCCCCCATCCATATAATTAAAAATAAATCTTAAAAAAATAAATGGATTGCCAACACACAAAACTGATGTCACAAAAATGCTTGGCATCTTTAAAAAAAAATATCCAAAGCTATATAACAAAGACCATAGTGCCATAAGGCAGCAATTAGCAGTTCAGTGACCACCACTGTCTTTAAACAGAACATTTCCCAGTCGTCGTCATCCCCCACCCCCGGCCAACCACTATTCATTTCTACCCTTCTATGCTGTTATGTTCTGAGTCCTTAATTCTCACCACCACAGTACCCTCCAGATCATGAGATGGAGCTCACCAGAGACCAACAACAAGACAAAGGGTCCTTCTGGTGGAAATGGTTGGGACAGTGTCCATCCCCACCCCATTCATATGTGCAACCCTAATCCCCAGTGCAGTGTGGAAGAATGGCACAGTACTTGGAGCCAACATTCTTAGAGGTGTTAAAATGACATCATTTGGGTACACCTTAGACTAGTATGATAGTTCATCTTTATTGTCAGATTCCTAGGATTTAGAATCACCATGGAAGTAAACCTCTGGGCCTGTGGAGGGGTGGGAAGACCTACCCTGTATGTGCTTTGTACCATACCATGGACTGGGGTCCCAGAGTGAATCAAAACGAACAAATTGAACACCAGCACTCATTTTTCCCTGCTTCGAGGCTGTGTATGCAATGTGATCTCCCGCTCCTGCTGTGACTTCCTGCCACAATATAGCAGTGGTTCCCAACCTTCCTAATGCTGTGACCCTTTAATACAGTTCCTCATGCTGTGGTGACCCCAACCACAAAATTATTTCTGTTGCTACTTCACAACTGTAACATTTACTACTGCTATGAAATATAATGTAAACATCTGTGTTTTCCAGTGGACTTAGGCGGCCCTTGGGAAAGTCCCAAAGAAGTCATGACCCACAGGTTGAGAACCACTGGACTATACTCTCAGTGAGCTAGGATAAACCTTTTCTCCATTAAGGTTATTGTCTTGTAATCTGTCACAGCAATGAGGATGGTGACCAGAATATATGTGTGTATGAAACTGTCAACGAACTGAAGGCATTAACTAAAGAATGGCATATGTTGTTTACAGAGAAGCACCAAAGCCAAGAAGCTGGTTTTGAGGTTATTCTCTTAACCATAAAGAGCTGGAGTGTGACCTAGTGCCGTAAGGCCTCAATCAAGCTACATCTAGGAGCCAAATCAATGACTCCCAGGAGGGTATGAGTGGGTGGGATATAGCAGGTGTACCACGGAGACCTGTGAGGTGGGCAAGGGTGGGACAGGTTTAAGTATCTAGTACACACAGGGTCAGGAGTAAGGGGAAATATGTGAACAGGGTAAGTGGAACATGGATTATGCCAACTGAACCATGATGGTACAAAGAGTGCTGCAATCAGTGAGGGGCATGTGTTAGGAGCTCGGACTCTGGGGTTGAATCCTGGCACGTAGAGCTATGAGGACATCTGTTTCACACAGAGGTCTATTTATCCATGAATCACAGAGCTGCCTCCGTACATATGTGAGGTTGGTCAGGTGACAACTCTCTAGTCCTCAGTTTCCCCATGCATAAAACAGCAGTGGTGGCAGTGTCTACTACAAAGACCTGTGTGGACAGGATTAAGTGCTATGGGAAATGGAATCTTTTTCATTCTCAGCTATTCTGTGGCTTGCTTTGGCATGCACATGAGCCTTGAGTTTGAGGTTCCCTCACACCTGGACAGAGTACCATTGACTGCTACACTCTCCAAATTTGAGAAGGGGAAACTCATGTATGAAGAGGTTAGGGAAGCTGGATGTGGTGACACAGTCTCTCTCCCACAGGGGAGACTGGGAGTATCATGAGATCAAGGGCAGCCTGGGCTATGTAGTGAGACATTCCTTCAAAACAGAAAGGATAAATAAAATAAACGCCAAGGTCACACAGTCACTTGTAAACTCAGGCCTCCATCCTTATCTATTTATGAGTCATTTTTTAAGATTTATTTACTTGTGTGTCTGTCTATGAGTGTGTGCATAAATCTGTAGGACATGGATCTGCTCATACCCATGGAAGTCAGAATGCAGTGACAGGTGTCCTCTGAGGCAGGGTCTCTCTGATGTTCCAATTAAAGTGTTCTCAAGTAGGCTGGAAGCTGTGTCTTCATTTACTGTGGGCTTGGGGTAATAAGGGTGCAGGGGGACACCGCAGCACTTGTTTTGATAGTGCTGGAACTCAAACTGTAGTTCTCATGATTTCACAGCAAGCACTCTTAACCACCAAACCATTTCTCTCTAGCTGTCTCCACTTTTGTTTGTTGGGATAGGTTCTCACGGAGACCAGAGAAGTCTCCAGAAAACTCATGGACGTATACACATGCTTAAAAAAAAAATTAAAACAGGAGCCAGGTAGAGCAGTGGTGGTGCACATCTTTGTTCCCAGCACTTGAAAGGCAGAGACAGATGACTCTATGTGAAGCCAGCCTGGTCTACATACAGAGTGACTGCCAAGACAGGCTCCAAAGCTACACAGACAAACCCTGTCTTGAAAAACCAAAAACAAAACAAAAACAGGAAATCAAAAAACAAAAAACCAGGAGCCAGGCAATGGTGGCGCATGCCTTTTTAATTCCAGCAGAGGCAGGCGGATCTGTGAGTTGGAGGTCAGCTGTGTCTACAGAGTTCCAGGGCAGCCAGGGATGTTACACAGAGAAACCCTGTCTCGAATGAATAAAAATAGAAAGAAAGAAAGAAAGAAAGAAAGAAAGAAAGAGAGAAGGGAGGGAGGGAGGGGGGAGGGGAGGGAAGGGGAGGGGAGGGGAGGGGAGGGGAGGGGAGGGGAGGAGAGGAGAGGAGAGGAGAGGAGAGGAGAGGAGAGGAGAGGAAAGGAAAGGAAAGGAAAGGAAAGGAAAGGAAAGGAAAGGAAAGGAAAGGAAAGGAAAGGAAACAGAGGCTGGAGAAATGCCTAAGCAGTTAAGACAATCTGCCATTTTGGCAGAGGCCTTGGGTTCAAATCCCAGCCATTTCCCACATGGTGGCTCACAATCACCTGTCACTACAACTCCAGGGGATCTGACAACCTTTTCTGGTCTCCTCAGGCACAAAGCATGAATCTGGTGCACAGACATGCATGTAGGCAAATACTCAGACACATAAATAAATAAAGTAAAAATGGAAATTCACTTGTTTCATGTCTGAAGTTTGAGTTCACACAATATCTTGAGTCGGCCTGAGTTGGTTTTTGTTTGTCTGTTTTTTAGACAGGGTTTCTCTGTAGCTTTGGGAGCCTGTCCTGGAACTAGCTCTTGTAGACCAGGTTGGCCATGAACTCAGAGATCTGCCTGCCTCTGCCTCCCGAGTGCTGGGATTAAAGGTGTGCACCACCACCACCTGGCATGGGCCTGAGTTTTACCTGTGGCCTGTCACGTGATGCTATTCGGAGCAAAGATAACACTCAAAAGGGTTTTGTGTTTTGGAACATTTCATACACACACATGCACACAGAGTAAGAACACATGTATGTCACTGTTTTGTCTGGTTTTTGAGACAGTCTATGTAACCTAGGCTCCTTTGATCCTACTGCCTCAGCCTCCCAAAATAACTGCATTGTGTGAGCCATCACCACACCTGGATACTTTATTTTCCTTTAACACAGGTCTCTTGTAGCCTGGACAGGCTTCAAACGCACAATGTAACCAAGGATGATCCTCCTGCCTCCACTGAGTACTGAGACCCCAGATGTGTGTGGCTAGGGGCTAAGGGTAAAATCCATTACTTCATGTACTCTATCAGTTGAGCTACATGCTCCCTGCCGTGACACTGGAATGATAAACCACATCTAGCTTAGAAACTGTCCAGATTTCAGATGCTGCATAAAGGATATTCAGCGTATACTCACACTGTAAACTTACAGTGTGTATACAGAGACATTATCACCTGTGTGACCCCCAATCGACGGCACTAGTCTGGCTCATCCAATGCACAATTATCCTAAACTCTGACTACATGTCTTCAAGCACAGCTCAACCCTAACTTTCCTACCTCACCAGACTGGTAACTGAAAATCCCTTAGGAGAATAATTAGCATAAAAGACAGGGCCTGAGACTGTTCCTCTAAGCAAATACTCTATAGCTTAGAAATAGCCCCAGCCTTTTACTGCTGGATTCTAAGTGAGAGTTTTATTACGAAGCCATAACCTTAGAACCTCACTGGTGGATTCTTCACAGGTTCTCTACCCCGAGCCACACCTTCAACCTCACAGAACCTGTTTATTGTTTAATACACTATTAAATACAAGCATCTCGAGGGCAGGGCATTAGCAGCTTTGGTCCCAGCTCTGACCTCACAGGTGATTCTGGAATATTCCATAGGCCTCCCTCTGAAGAACTTACTGTGCCAGTTCCTCTCAGTCTCCAATCTCTCCGTCTGTGGTGTCCCAGAATGTCTGTCTAAACCGAGAGCAGAAACTCCTCCACCCTGCTTATATTACTGCGGTTTTCCAAGTGCCTTAGGACATCGTCATAAATTACCTTTACTGATTCCCAACATTCCGGTGTTGAGATGCCTTGTGGATGTCACCACGAATATTCCTTCATGGTTACTGTGTAACTACCCTAATCATCTGTACCCAGTCCAGCTCTTTCCTCCCTGCTCCCTGTCTTAACAATTGTCACTCCTAAGAAGCCAGACCCCAAGTGAAGGCAACTCTTTCCTTTTCCTGTAACAGACCACCAGATCCAGGCCCACTTTTTCGTCCCTCCTCTTCACTATGTTCTCAGATCCATGTCACAGGCTGCCCCCTCTCCAAGTCCAGCTTCCATCTACCCCCAAGCCTCTGCCCTACTCCCAGGTCTGCACTTGGTGGCTTTTTATAAGTATCCAAAAAGGAGACAAGCCCAAACAGGAGCAGAAGGCATTCCCCAGTATCCTGCTCTCCTCCCATCTCTCAGGTGCCTCAAGTTTTTCTTTGGGAATGGGGACACACAGAAAATTCTCTTCCACGATGGTCGTGGACACCCCCTCAATGAATGGACCCTTTGTTTGGGGGGGGTTCTGATATCAAACTTAGTGGAACAAAATGAACCATAGAAAAAGAAAAGAAAAAAAAAAAAGCCATGAGTTCCCAGATCCTGGGAATGGCCAAGTTATCCTTAAACAAACAAAAATGACTTCTCACACTGCCATACGCATACTGCTACGTAAGAGATTGTGTGTTCCGTGGTTGGGATGACCAGGTGTGACTACTGCTAATCATGTGTTTACATGTCCCCAGAGCCTTAAGGTTTGCTCCATACACCTACATGGGCATGTTCTCCCCTAATGTCCCAAGCAAGGAGTCTGGCACTGACTCTCCATGTCTATCCCCTGAATGGCTAGCTCCACGGCTCCTACCTTTGCTAGCCATGAAAAATATATGTGTATGTGGCTTGTCCTAAGGGATTATGACCTCCATAAAAAAGAATCATCCCGGGGCTGGAGAGATGGCTCAGTGGTTAAGAGCATTGCCTGCTCTTCCAAAGGTCCTGAGTTCAATTCCCAGCAACCACATGGTGGCTCACAACCATCTGTAATGAGGTCTGGTGCTCTCTTCTGGCCTGCAGGCATACACACAAACAGAATATTGTATACATAATAAGTAAATAAATAAATTTAAAAAAAAAAAAAAGAATCATCCCCTGCCAGTGAGCTCTGATTGGGAGATAAAGTGCAAGTCTCCCGTAGAAGAGAATGTTCTATCTTATAGGTGAGTAAGTGGAGCCTATGTGAGAGGCAGGAGCACACCCAGACTTCAGAGCCCAAACAGTGAGAACCACAGATGGGTCACATGAACTTGACCCCACAGGGCTTCAAACCCTTTTGACTTCTATACTTCCATCCGTTCCTTGCCATCTTCAGCTCCACTTGCCTCCGAAGCTTCCCCAACAAACAACCTTATTCACACTGGTTTCCAGCATTACTCCCTCCAACCAGAGGAATGTCTTATGCCTCCACATAGTCTGGGGCAAGAGAGGGTGGAAGGTGGGGGAAACAGAAGCCAAATTCCATAAAACACTCACCCTGAGCTGCAGCCACCTCCTGGAGGGCGAGTATCATCTGTGTGAAAGCATCATGAAGGTGCCCCCTCTCGTCATAGTCTGAGGGTGGACAGGAAGCAGGCTGAGGAAGCATCATGGCACTTATCTGGTGCCAGTTATGTTCTACGTCTGATTCATGGCTGAAAGTGTCCACCCGCAACCCCACTCCAGGGTCTCTGTGCCCTCTCTGGAGAGATAACACACACACTCTCTCTCTCTCTCTCAATTTCTTTCCCCAACCCTAACCCTAACCTGGGTGTCTATTCCTCCCTCCCTCTAGTCTCTCCTCTCCTCATCTCTCTCTAGGCCTCTGTCTCTGTCACACCACCCTGGATCTGTTATGCCCTCTCAATCTATTACAACATCATCGGTCGCTGTCCTATCTCTCTGGACCACTGTCTCTCCCTAGGTCCCTGGCCCCACTCTCCATCAGTCCCTTTCTCCCTTACTCTGGGTCTCTATCTTCAGAACTCTGTCCCTCTGTCTCCAGGTACCTGTCTCTCTCTGGACCTCTAGATATCTGACCTTCCCACTCACCCCCTCCTCCCTCTGAGCACTGATCCTTTTACTCAGTCGCTTTTCAGTCTCCTTCTCATTCTGTCAAGGACTTCACTGTCCCTAGCCTCTCCCCAAGGCACTGTCTCCACCCCTCTCTGTGTTTCTTTCCATTGTCCCTTCCCTGTGTCTCTGCCTAAGTAATTCTGTACTCAGCTTTACTTCGTGGAGTTGACCAAGGTCTCTCCTGCCCCTCCCAGTGCCCTGCATCAAGGACAGGGGTCTCCTCACTGATTTCCACGTCTGAGAGACCCTCAAAGGCAGCTGTGAGTGCGTCTTTACACTGGCCCAGCTTGGGGCCCTCTGTGCCCACAAACAGCTGGCAGAGACGAAGGCGTTCCTCATGGCTGGTGAAGCAGAAGAGACATGCCCACGTGGACGCCCTGAAGATCAGTGGGAACAACAGGGCGATGCTCCCCACTAGGGAAACAGGGGCCATCACAGTGGGTCTCTGTGTCTGAGGAGTAGCTAGTAACCTTTGTGAGGTCACCGTGGGGGAGGGGGAGCTGTACCCTAAGATCAGAGATTATCTTTCAGCTGGTGGTCAAATGTCAGGCTCCAGCTAGAGGAAGGTTGTCAGGGGTCACCTGCAATCCCTAAATTTGTAGCTGAGCCAGGCGCCAGGCTCCCAAGAACCTCACCTGTGACCCTGGACGTCCTCACAGGTTAAAGGGTCTCAGGGACCTAGAAGCCGGCATTGTAGCTATGGTGGACCAGGAAAGTCGTTTTCCCCAGAGGTGGGAGCAGGGAAATGAGAAAGGAACACTGGCAGATACACTGAGCCCTAGATGACAGAAACAGGGCAAAGAAGACAGAGAAGCCTGGAGAGACATCAAGAGGCCCAGAGATTCAAAATGTCACAGAGATAAAAGATAGATTCAGAGCTCTAGAGAAACAGAAGCTTCTAGAACCCCAGAGACTGCAGGGTAATAAAGACAGAAAACGAGGAAATCTCCTAATGGCAGAGAGACTGCAAAGAAAAGGGCTAAGACACAGAGTGTGGGCAGAGAAGGCACCCCAGGTCATCCCAAGAACTGTGGTGCAGTAGTGTGGACCCGGGGTCCCCGCCGGCCCCTTCCCGTGCAGGGCGCAGCCTGGGGAAAGCTAGGAGGCCGTATAGTGATCTCCTCGGGTGTCTTCCTCAACTATACAACCTCCTACCTCAGCCCGGGGGGCGCGGCAGGTGGGCAGATTGACAGATGGAATGATGGGGGACCAGGAGAAATAGGGAGGGTGGGGAGGGCCGGGGAGGTCCCAGCCGCGACGGTGAGCCCCCGACACGGACCCACAGACACGAGCTTGTGTGCGGCGAAGGCCCCGCAAGGTCGGTTCTACGGGTGGGTGCCAGGACCCAGGAGTCCGGGCCCCCGGCCCCCTCCTCCCCAAGGAACCCAGGAATTCAGTCCCAGCCCTTATCCCACAATCTAGACCTCAGTCCCCCTCCTTCAAAGCCAGGGATTCAAACTCCAGGCCTCTTCAGACCCAGGGGTCCAGAACCCAGCCTTCCTCCCTCAGACTCAGGGGTACTGGCTCCAGACCTCCTTCCAATTTCAGACTCAGGAGTCCATGTCTCAGTCCTCCCTCCCTCAGCAGATCCGAGGATCCAGTGCTCCACACCCAAGAGCCCTCACACTCAGCTCTCTGGCAGTTCCTAGCACTCTTACCACCTCAAACTCAGGGGGTCAATCTTTCTCCTCACCCCACCCTTGCAGACCCCCGAGTCCAACCACTAGCACTTCCCTTACAGGAGGCACACCCGGGGAAGGGACCTGGCCTTTGGAGTGTAGAAAGAAGGGGGACTCACTTGTCTTGGTAATCTGCCCCCCTCCTGAAACCCCTCAAGGTTTCAGACCCCAGGCCTGAGCTTAAGTGTTCCTGGGTCTCAGGAATACTCATGAGGCTCTCAGAAGAAACCTTCCTTTCTACTTTTCCCCTACTCTCAACCTTAAGAGTGACAGCTATGATCCAGGAGTAAAGATACCAACAAGGGCCCTGTCTCCTAGACTCCTCCCAACTCAGGATGAGGTTGCTACCTTCACCCCTGAGCCCCCAGAGAGGAAACCACTTGGCCAAAGGCAGTCGGCTGCAGGTGGGAGGGGCCCTAGGATCTGCACCCACCCTGAGGCTCTGAGCTCACAACTGGTCCTCTGGGGCTTCTAGGTTCCATGTCCATCTTCTTGTTTCTTTCTTTCCGCTCGTTTTGCCTTACCCTGCCCTTTCCTATTTCTCCCTCTTTCTCAGTTTGTATCTTCCCTGTCTGGTCTCTCTTCTGCCATATCTGCATGCCTGGTCCTCACTCTTGTCTCTCCTCTGGCTGACCCTTTCCACATTCACCTCTCCTCTTCCTCACCTCGTATCTTCCATATCTACCTCTCAAGTCTCTCCCTCTTTTACACTGTCTTCTTTCGCCCCCTCCTTCCCTGGCTTTGTCTCTCATTTTCGCTCTTTCTCTGAATTCCTCTCCTCTTTTTCTCCCCGCTTCTTATTCAGTCTAGCCTCCACCCTCCTCTCCGGGGTCTCTCTCTCCCTTTCTCTCCCTCTTTTCGCCTTCCCTCCCAGATTTCCTTCTCTCTTTTCCCTCCCCTCCCCCATCCTCTCTTTTTTTTTCTCCTTCCCTCTCTCCCTCCCTCCTCCTCGCAGCTCAGAGCCAGGTCTGGAACTGGGGGTGGAGTGGGGGTGGGTTGAGAAGGGGCCCTGGGCTGGGGTAGCGACCTGCTGAGGCGGGGAGGGGGGGGGAGGGAGGCGGGAAGGGGGCGGAGAAGCAAAGCGGGAGGCGGGGGCCTGAGACGGGTCTTCGGCCCCAGCACCAGTCCTCCTTTCCCTCCTTTCCAATCTCCCAGACCCTCAGGCGGGGCGAGAGTCAGGCCAAGGTGGGGAGGAAGGGGAAGGGAGGAGGCTTCCACTCACCCCCCCCCCCAACAACCTGGCCCAGAGCCCAGGCCTGGGTTCCCAGCATGCCCCGGGGCTGCCTGGGGCCTGAGGAGGGGGGGTGAGGAAAGCGGAGAAGCAAGAATCTTAAACATTCTCCAGACCAGAGCATCTCTCCCACACCCAGCAAGTTTCTCCCCAAAAGGGAAACTGAGGCTGAGAAGGTTCCGAACTGGTTCAAGGTCAATGCCCCAGGCGTGGGTGCACTTCCCCTGGATTCATAGACTTGCTTTGGGGAATGGGTAGGCACTGGACTTTTCCCCCAAGGCTTGGGTCCCCTCCCCCCCCCCCTTTTGCAGACCCTAGGGAGCCCCCAAGGGTCAGAGAGCAGACCCAAACAGTCTGGCACCATAGCAACCAACTGGCCCCGCCCCCTTAACCCCTGGAGGGCTGGACTCCAGCTGGGGCTAAGGCGAGGTGGGGGACTCGTGGTTCTGGGTAAGAAGCCTCCCTACCTATCCCCCCACACACACATCCTAGTAACTAAGAAGAAAAATACTTAGGGTCCTGACTCTTTGGTTCTGAAGGAGGGATGGGGCGCGGGAGTGGTGGTGGCCTCTGCTTCTGGGCCGAAGGTGATGGTAAGAGAGTAGACTCTCGGTCAGAGGCAAGAAGCAGCTGGGTGGCCCAGACTCCTGGGTCCTGGGCAGACTGCATCTAGAGTTTCGGATTGTGGAATTTTGGTAAGGGGCTGGAAGGTGGACTCTGAGGGAGGAGGGGGCCGAGGCCTGGAAGCCTAGGTCCCCAGAGAAACCTGGACGCAGGGCCTCTCCACTACCAGACATCCCCTGCCCCGGGCGCTGACCCGGGCCCGTCTGGCAGCCCAGACAACCTCCCCCTCCTCCTGGCACCCTCCCACTCACACGGCTCACCCTTGACCCCGCAAAGCCCCGCAGCCCCATCTCTGCCCCTCCCCCGCCCTTCCAGCCAGACGTTAACCCTTGGGCCGCCGGAGGCACCTCCAGAGCCAGACAGTCTTCCTCCAACTCCCCTGCGGTCTCTGGCATCTGGTCCCCAGTCCCTTACTCTCTGGGATCCTACATCCTTCCTTTAGAATCTCAGAGGTTCTCCCAGCTTCTGTAACCCGGGGAACCCAGAATCTAGACCTCCAGCTCCCTCCATCAAAGACTGAGGAGTTCGTACTCCCAGCTCACTACCCTCCCCCCGCCGAACCACAACCGCCACCACTTCTCTGCCATCCAAGTCAGAACCCAGAAATCCAGGCCCAGGCTGGCTGCCTCCTCCCTTGGGGGACCCTGGAGTCCGGCCCAGGTCCCATCCCCCCTCCTGTTCCGCAGACTCACCGCTCCGCGGCTCCAGCGTCGCGGGGACCCAGTGTCCTCCAGCCCCAGCCCCAGGTTCTCCATCCTCTCCCTCTGCCGCCCGCGGCCTCTCCCCTTCCTCCCTCCAGCCCCGCCATCCTCCGCCCCCGGTCGCCTGCAGCCTCCGGCCGGTGCCTCCTCCCGGCACTGCGAGCCTGGGCTCCCCCGCCCTAGACCCCGCGGGCAGCGTGGCCTCGGACCGGCCCCCTCCCCGGGGGGCCCCTGCCCAGCCCCTCCCCACCGCCCAGCCCAGTCCGGCCAGGCTTTTCCCCCCACCCCCCTGCCCTGAAGCTGGCCCGGGTCCAGGGGAAAAAATTCCATCCAGCCCTAGGGAGGAGGAGCGGGGCGGAGGAGGGAGCATGAGGGGAGGCCGGGCTAGGGGAGCGTGACGCAGGGAGAAGGGAAGGGACAAAAGAGAGGCCGGGAGGCAGCGGAGGCAGGCTCCCTCCCTCCCTCCCTCCTCCTAGGCTAGTGCCCGCTCAGTCTCTGCAGCTTTCTACCCCTTGGTTTTCTCCATCTCACCTCCCTTCGTGGCTCTCGGCCTCCTGCCTCTTCTCCCACCCGCTCCCCCCACCCCCCGCCCATGTCATTCTTTTTTCTGGCCTCCCTTCCTTCTGTCTGCCCTCCCTTTCTGCCTTTCCCTGTGTCTGCATCTTCATCTTTTTTTTTCTTTTTTCCTTTTTTGCTAGCGACGGGTCTTGCATTTTCTCTCTGCTTTTCTTCCTTTCTTCCTGGGTCTTTCCTTTCCTCTCTCCTCTGTGCACCTTCCCCAACCAGGGGCTGCATTCCCACCCACCCCTTTCGTCTCTCCCAGCCCACCACCCCCCTTCTCCGCGCAGTGTTTCTCCCCTCCCCGGCACTGGAACTCAAAGGTGAATTAGACCCGCATATCTATCCTTGCACACAGAGCTCACAGTCTGATGAAGGAATAAGACCCAGCCGCAGGGTGATGGAGTGTGACTGGGGTGAAGTGGGGGGGGGGGGTGCCGAGACCAGAGACTCAGGAGATAGGGGGTGAATGGGGCGGTGGATGGGAACACACCCTGCAGCAGTCAGCAGACCCGCCAAAAAGGCATGGTTGAGGGTGCGACCTCTGAGAACCAGAAGTTAGTCCTGAATTGTTGGAGGATAGAAGTAAGGGAGGTCCAGGCCCGGGGCACAGTTTAGGCAAAAGCCCAAAGGCAAGAACCAGGGTAACAACGCA